CAGTCAGTCAATAAGTCAGTCAGTCAATAAGTCAGTCAGTCAATAAGTCAGTCAGTCAATAAGTCAGTCAGTCAATAAGTCAGTCAGTCAATAAGTCAGTCAGTCAGTCAATAAGTCAGTCAATAAGTCAGTCAGTCAGTCAATAAGTCAGTCAAGAAGTCAGTCAATAAGTCAGTCAGTCAGTAAGTCAGTCAGTAAATAAGTCAGTCAGTCAGTCAGTCAGTAAATAAGTCAGTAAGTCAGTCAATAAGTAAGTCAGTCAGTCAGTCAATAAGTCAGTCAGTCAATAAGTCAGTCAGTCAATAAGTCAGTCAGTCAATAAGTCAGTCAGTCAGTCAGTCAGTCAGTAAATAAGTCAGTCAGTCAGTCAGTAAATAAGTCAGTCAGTCAGTCAGTAAATAAGTCAGTCAGTCAATAAGTCCGTCAGTCAGTCAGTCAATAAGCCCGTCAGTCAGTCAGTCAATAAGCCCGTCAGTAAATAAGTCAATGTCAGTCAATAAGTCAGATAGATAGATGATAGATAGATAGATAGATAGATAGATAGATAGATAGATAGATAGATAGATAGATAGATAGATAGATAGATAGATAGATGTTTTTGTTGCTTAGAAAAGTTCAGTGAAAAGATCCACTGATCAGGTTTCATTATATTTTGACAAATATGAATTTGTGTTGTGTTGCTACAAAAAGCTGCAGGCTGCACAGTCCTGCACTGAGATCTTTACCTGAGTTTGCAGCTGCTGAACTTTCTTCTGGACCCTCAGGAAGACGTCCTCCCGCTGGTTGTGGTCCAGCAGGGACAGGGTCCGGAACCTTGGGTCCAGCGCTGTGCACTCCAGCAGGAAGTCATTCAGGGCTCCACTGTAAGTGCCTGAAATGTTGTTGAGGATGGCTCTCTTCGTGTCGGCCACAGTGGTGGAGTCATCATGGTGTGGGCTCATGCTCTGCTCTATCATGCTCTTCAGCGGCACAATGAGGGACACCGCGGGGTTTCTCTCCTCACACAGGACCGTGGTCACGGTCTTCAGGGGCATCAGCAGCCTCACCAGGTCTTCTGCTTCCCGGGTGTCGCTGCTGTCCAGTGCATCGATCTGGACGCTGAGTCTGAGGTACGGGCTGCTGAGAACCGCGGCGATGGCGGYCTGCTGCTCCAGGTAGCGGCTCAGCATGTCCAGCGTGCTGTTCCACCTCGTGCTGACGTCAGTGATCAGGTCGTGGCACGGCAGCTGCAGCAGCTTCTGCTTGGACTTCAGCACGGCGGCGGTGGTGGGGTTCTGGTGAAACACGGAGACAACACGCCTCACGCGCTCCAGCAGCGCGCTAACCCGCGTCACAGCGAGGCCAGCCCGGATGGCCAGGTTCACAGTGTGGGCAAAGCACTGGATGCGGGGCTCCAGCCCGGCCTGGCGTAGCGCTACTTCCGGGTTACCTACGTCATTGGTTACGATGGCGATACTACGGTTTTGCCTCCGAAGCTGCCACTCAGAGACAGCCTCTATCAGCACCTCCATCATGTTGGCTTCCTTGTTCGAGTCCAACAGCGGGCGAGTTCGGAGCACAACGTTCACGGTTTCCCACGCGCTGCTCGTGGCGCGAGCCGTAACCGTGACGTAGCTCAGCGTACCCCTGAAAGTCCAGGCTTCGGTCGTCACTGCGATGCTTTCCGCGCTCTTTAGAACCTGCACCACCCTGGTCCTGCACTCCGCGTACAGGTTCGGAACCACCGTGGTGGAGAAATGGCCGCGGGTCGGGATGGTGTAGTTGGGCTCCAGCGTGTTGAGGAGCCGCTTGAAGCCCAGGTTCTCCACAACAGAAAATGGCGACAGGTCGGCCGCGATGAAAATACCGATGTCCCGTGTGATCTCGGCGGCTCTGTCGGTTAGCTGCGGGGGCTGGGGCGGGTCTGCGCGTCGGCTCGGTTCCCTCGGCACCACGGCCGCTGCGGGTTTAACCTGAGACCTGCGGTGGCTCCGCAGACGTCTGTGGTTCTGGTTCTGTTGAGGCTCGTGTTGTTCTAACACGGATCTGTGGTGGTTCTGTAGGTGTCTTTGCATAGTGCTAGTGTTAGCCGAGGTGTAGGGAGAGATCTTCTTGCAGTGCTTACAGATGGTTCGGGTTCTGTCCGTCACCCTGGCTCCATTTACCGTCACTACCGGGTATCCGAAGTGCTGCCACACAAACGACTTGTAGGTGGGGGGAGCGTCGTCGATGCTGATCTCACCGGACGAAGCCATGATGAAGCTAACGGGATGGAGCTTCACGAGAGAAGACAATCTCGTGATGTAATGAAATCTCGCGAGATCTCGCGATGTTTTCAGCGYTTTGTTTTCCCTGTTAGCAAATCATGTCTCATAAACCACTGGATGGATTCTCATGAAAAGTTCAGGAAATCATCGTGAAATGTAGATGTAAAACTGATAAACTTTTAGAGCCAACTCAATTCAAGATGGCGCCCTGTCTCTTTTATTTGCAGCAAATAAAACAAACCATGTGAGGACAGATGATTAAAGTTCAAGTTCATTTAAAAGTTATTTGTATAGTGGAAAAAAACCTGTATACTGCCCTTACTAAAAAAGAAGTATATCTCAAGTATACATTTCCCTAATTGTACGTTTCCTTAGTTTTTTATATAAGCTAAAGTATAGGTAAGATAATATCTTTGATAAGTAGGCTACATAAGCAGAAAACTGAAAGCATAGCCATCTTTCTCATTTAAATTATAAAGTTTATACTTTTTGGTAAGTCATGAAAATCTTGCAAGATATTCATATTGGAAGCAACAGAACATGAAATAAAGATTTGTCCATATTCTGCTTTATTTATTTTCTATAGTTCTGACTTTTTTTTAAAGCTATATGCCCCATTTTCCCATAATTTTCAAAACTGCTTGGAAGTTCTGATCTGATAAATTTATTGTGGTAGTTACAGAAAGTCATTTCCAACACAAATACATGGCAGGAGATACAGTGGGGAGATCAAGTATTTGATACACTGTTGATTTTTCAGGTTTTCCCACTTGCAAAGCTTGTAGAAGACTAATTTTTATCATAGGTACTCTTCAACTGTGAGTGATGGAATCTAAAACAAAAATCCAGAAAAATACAACGTATAATTTTTAAATAATTAATTTCCATTTTATTGTGTGAAATAAGTATTTGATACACCAGAAAAATGAAACTTAATATTTGGTACAGAAACCTTTGTTTGCAATTACAGAGATCAGACGTTTCCTGTAGTTCTTGACCAGGTTTGCACACACTGCAGCAGGGATTTTGGCCCACTCCTCCATACAGATCTCCTCCAGAGCCTTCAGGTTTCAGGGCTGTCGCTGGGCCACACGGACTTTAAGCTCCCTCCAAAGATTTTCTATTGGATTCAGGTCTGGAGACTGGCCAGGCCACTCCAGGACCTTAACATGTTTCCTACGGAGCCACTCTTTAGTTGCCCTGGCTGTGTGTTTTGGGTCGTTATCATGCTGGAAGACCCAGCCACGACCCATCTTCAGTGCTCTTACTGAGGGAAGGAGGTTGTTGGCCAAAATCTCAYGATACATGGCCCCATCCATCCTTCCCACAATATGGTGCAGTCGTCCTGTCCCCTTTATGGAAAAGCATCCCCAAAGAATGATGTTTCCACCACCATGCTTCACGGTTGGGATGGTGTTCTTGGGGTTGTACTCATCATTCTTCTTCCTCCAAACATGACGAGTGGAGTTTAAACCAAAAAGTTCTATTTTTGTCTCAGACCAAATGACCTTCTCTCATTCCTCCTCTGGATCATTCAGATGGTCATTTGCAAACATCAGACAGGCTTCGACATGCGTTGGCTTGAGGAAGGGCACCTTGCGTGCACTGCAGGATTTTAATCCTTGACGGCGTAGAGTSTTACTGATTGTTTTCTTTGAGACTGTGGTCCCAGCTCTATTCAGGTCATTGACCAGGTCCTGCCGTGTAGTTCTGGGCTCATTCCTCACCTTCCTCAAGATCAATGATGCTCCATGAGGTGAGATCTTGCATGGCGCCCCAGACCGAGGGAGATTTTCTGTTATTTTGTATTTCTTCCATTTTCTAATAATTGCACCAACTGTTGTTGCCTTCTCACCAAGCTGCTTGCCTATTGTCCTGTAGCCCATCCCAGCCTTGTGCAGGTCTACAATTTTATCCCTGATGTCCTTACACAGCTCTCTGGTCTTGGGCATTGTGGAGATGCTGGAGTCTGATTGATTGAGTGTGTGGACAGGTGTCTTTTATACAGGTAACAAGTTCAAACAGGTGCAGTTAATACAGGTAATGAGTGGAGAACAGGAGGGCTTCTTAAAGAAGAACTAACATGTCTGTGAGAGCCAAAATTCTTACTGGTTGATAGATGATCAAATACTTATTTCACACAATAAAATGGAAATTAATTATTTAAAAATGATACATTGTATTTTTCTGGATTTTTGTTTTAGATTCCATCACTCACAGTTGAAGAGTACCTATGATAAAAATTACAGTCTTCTACAAGCTTTGCAAGTGGGATAACCTGAAAAATCAACAGTGTATCAAATACTTGATCCCCCCACTGTATGCATTCCTGTAAGAAATGCTACTGCTTTATTTAAACTAATTTTGTGTCAATTTAATCAAATTAATTTTTAATTCCAAATACCACCAAATTAAAAAAATTCATTCAAATTTAAATTTCATATCCCAGGTTGTAAAAATAACAAAATTAAAAAGTAACCACAGGTGTTATCATAGTTGCCCAAGTTCTTACAAATAAAAAACAAAAATAAGATGTTTAATACTTTTCTAAAAGAAAAAAAAGTGTCTCAAAAGTTTCAAATTGTCTGGTTCCATAAATAACTTCAGCAAAGAATCTGTGAATTGCTTTATTCAGTTTCCAGACAAATCAAACGACAAGCCCACTTTAAAAAAGCAGGATCAACATCACAACATTACATTGAGTGAAAAAAGGGCTTCATTTATTTCAAACCCTGAATTCAAACTGAGTGTGAAGATTCACAAAAAAAATCCTCCCTTTTTAAGACCTCGCAACAGAATCCATCAACAGGAAACCAGGACAAATGAAGAAAAACAGGCTGAAACTTCCAAAAAGTGACACTTATCTTCAATATTAGTCACAGTAAGATTGCTTGAGTAGTGTGTATTGCACATGTGTACACTTTATGTACATGTGAGTCAGCGAGGACCAGACATGAGTCGTCACCGCGGGAAAGAGTGTGAAGAAAACACCGACACGAACAGAAGAGTCAGGAATGTGCTGATCGGTTTCAACAACAAAAACTGGATTTAAAAACTCTTCAGTCATGAACCGAATGAAACAAACCGAGAGAGTCCCCCCTGAAAACTGAGGGAAGTAAAACAGACTCCAAACCCCCTCCCACACACACGCAGACACACACACACACGCACACGTCATAGCAGGACCCTACTTTAACACCACAGTATCAAACATCAAGAAATTTACTGAATCATCTCATGTAGGAAAACATCAAATCTGTGTGACTTCTGGACTGGTGAGAAGTTCTCACTGCATGAAGCAGTTCTCGGTCTTTGTCCTTCAGAATTCAGGTTTTAGCAGCAGTGGAGGTGACACCAAATTGAATCTTCAAAGCACGACCTTTCAGAACTCAGAACCAAGCAGGAACCTCTCACAGGACAGTTTGTTACAGATCTCAGTAGAAGTGTTCATTATTGGCCCTTTTCCACCAGCTCCTCTACAGCACGCTTCGACTTGGCTCTCCACAGTTTCAAGGCTTTTCCAGTAGCAAGGATTTRTAGAACCAGAYCCTTTTTCAGAATGTACATCTGTGGTTCCAAGTGTACCGCGTGTCGATACTGATTGATTTGGGGGTGGAGTCACTGGTTGTGTCATAAAARCTACTCTCACAACAACCAGATCCATTGTTTGCAATAACAACCCTACATGTCCTCTATTGTGTTTTTATCTTTCCGGSRTCTTCTTCTACTGTGTTTAATGTGGCAAATAGTTTAATGGAGCATAATTACCACCAGCTGGTAAGACATGTGGCATGTGAACTCTGGGACCTCACAACTTTATGAYAAACCCATGCTGTAGAGGTGCTAGTWRAAACATATGAGAGTGACTAGTCTACTGGCTTCTGAAGCAAATTATTTTTTTTGATAAAAGTCAAATATGTTCTTTGGGGACCATTAGCATGTACAGTAATTCCATTRGCTCCATTCTCTCAATTGCTGGATTTTATGGGACAGTTTTCAGAATGGCTGYCAGAATACCCATTTGGCCTTTAACTTGGTTTTTAGTTGACACAACACTATGATCTTGGTGTCTAAACCTATGTTTTCTAATCTAAAGGATCCAAAGGATCCAGTGGAGACCGCCAATATCCGTTTTAGATGACAGCCATCTTGGATTTTCAAAATGGCCACCAGAATACATATTACCCTGTAACCTTGTTTCCATGCCACAYAGAGCCGTGATCTTGGTGTCTAAACCCACATTTTAAATTATAGAGGATCCAGAGGTGACCACTGAAATCTGTTTTAGGTGACGTCCATCTTGGATTTCCAAAATGGCTGTCCAAATACTACTTTGGGGGTCATTCCAGGTGGATGAAAATATTACATTATTGTCTACACCAGGGATGGGTGCCTTAAATGATGGGAGGGGTCATCACTTTACTTTAGGGATGTGTTTTAGTAAATTAATCCTAAAAGCTGTCCAAACTTTCTGTTCCAGAGGGTTTTAAAACTGATCAGAACCTCTCTGGGAATCATAGATGGTTAAAGCCAATTAAATAAAAAAATTACCAATCCTTATTTTATAAATGCAGTACAGTTAAAATCTCAGATGTTTGTAATTTTGATCTTTACAAACTCTACAAAGTTTTGGAACCATCCATGTGAGCCATGAAATATTTGACTGACAGTTGCTGATCAAACTCCAATTGAATGTTGGGGAGATTTTATTGGACTACAGTTGGTTTGACTTCAGATCTCAGTCCTTCACTCAGCCAGTCCAGTACCAGCTGCTGTTCTTGAGTTTGATTAAATAATGTTTAGTACCAAAAGCCTCCAGTTAAATGAATAAAATCAGGTCAATAAATCAGTCAGTTTGTAGATAGCTGGAACAGGACAATAGGCTGCGATGCTCAAACAYGGCTAACTCTAACTCATCGCCAACACAATTTGCTGAGACAGCAGCTGAAAATGTAAATATTTCCTCACTCAGCTGGAACTCACAGGGGTGAACAGGCCTCGTGGTTACACCAACACTGCTGCCACCGCCACGTTTAAAACCATTCTGGATTTATTCTCCATCACACATCAGTCCTCTGAGTTCTTAATACACACCTGAAGACTTTACTAAGACCCTGCAAAACYAGTGGGCCATCATCCATTGTAAAGAGGCTTCCATGTCCAACAGTCCAGTCCTGAGGTGATAAACGATCTAATGATGGGTGAGTCAKTAACAAACTTTACGTTCACTGAGTGGATGTAAAATATGAGCCGAGTGTTAAAGTTGAGTTTTTATTTTAAAATATTAATGTTCAGGACCTTCAGGATACAAATCACATCCTGCCTAAAAGCCTGTTAACGTTCGTTTCTGCCTTTATTTTGAAAGAATTCTAAAATGCTAAATGTTTGGTCACACAAGCTCAGGTATGAACATGATCCTGGCGAGCAGCTGCTGTCTGCAGCCAGCAGATCTGAGTCAACTTTAAGTCATCACAAATCCCAACTATGTGGACCTGATCACAGAGACTGGAAACGGTCCTGCATCATGAGGCAGCAGCTGAGATTTCAGCTCGCTCAGGTATTTCCTGTTTTCTGTTTGTGCTGCAGGAGTAAAAACTGAAAGGAGAGCAGGAGGTGGTCTCATGTTTGGGGCCGACGTTGGGGGCTCCCGTGACGTCAGATACTTGAAGATGAGCGTTTCTGTAAAAATAATTTCTTCCAGCTTTGYTACCTGCTACTACTTTCAGCTCAAATGTTTTCTGCATCTCTGACTACGAACCAGACAGAAATGAGAAAATTTCACAAGTAAAATAAATAAATAAATAAAAAAATGTAAAAGATTTTTGAGATCAGTTAGAGCCAGACGAGGAAGTTTTGCAAAAGTCTTGATTCAGATCTGCATTTAGCTATGATTGGTTAAAAATAAATAAATAAAATACAACAGTAACTTTACAGGAACTAAAATTTACTGAACAGCTGATATTTATTGTAATCATTTTTCCTTTCAACTAGTTATTTACTTCCTCTTGTTTAGATTCTAATCATGCATGTTAGAAACAAAAATAATGTGCAACAAAGAGGATCTGTGTAAAAAGGTATGTAGAGTTTAAAGGCAGTATTTTGGTCTTTTTAAAACTTTGAGTTTTATTTTACAATCCACTCAGTGAGCAGACCAGGACTCTAAGAAGTTGTCAGACTGACATAGACTTGAGATTCAGGACTACGATGTTCTAACAGAAATAAATCAAAAGTCATAATATTAATCTTTTTATGATTTAACCTCTGACCTCTAACACTTCCTGTCTGTAGTTACAGCTGTCGGCCTGATGAGGGCAGTGCTGGTCAAGAACTGGAGTTCAGTTAAACAACATTCAGTCACCCTCATCACCTATTACCAAGCACAGGCACACGCGCGCGCACACACACACACACACACACACACACACACACACACACACACACACACACACACACACACAGGGTGTGGTGATGGCTGATCCCATCGGTCCATGTGCTTCCTTCCTGTCAGACCTTGAAAACATCAAAGCTTCAAATAGAATATATTTATAAATCTAATTTGATTTAATAAAACACTGTTTATAGCTCTTATTTTTTGTTTTTATACAAAAGTATTTGGTGTTTTTATACATGTGTGTATGTACAGAAATAGAAAAAAAGAGCACACGTGTTTCTGTGACGACTGGACAGTATGTACAGCAAACAGCAAGAATTACAATTAATGACCGAAACAACAAAACAAAAAACAGTAGACACTGTGGCGTTTGAAAATGAGCCACAATCTGATGATCCTTATTAAATGTGAAGGGGGCGTGGCTCAGGTCACATGGCTCTAAACCAAAACAAGTAGAGGAGTGGACTGAAGGGTCTGTGTTTACATGAATGAATACTTATGCTGGCCTGATCCTGGGACCTGATCCTCAGGACTCAGAGTCTGACAGGATTCCACAGCAGGCTTCCAGCCCGGGGGCGTGACCTCAGAAGCTTCTGCCCCCAGAAAATAAACCAGTCTCTTGAGAATACTATTGTCAGATTTCAAATAAAAACTCGAGTTCATGTGAGCAGAGTTAATTTCAGCTCGTATGAAAGCCTGTTCCTTTCTCTCCAGGTTGGTACATGTGGAGGAGAACTAAGGCATCAAGATGAAAACAGAAAATCCTCTGAGCAGCTCAAACAGCTGARCTGCTCCGGCAGTGACCTGGAGGTTCTGACAAGTGTTTGTTGGACAGGAAAAAGGCACCTATCGTTTCTTCTCCTCTTCTCCTCGTTGTAAAAGCCGTTCCTCCTCCGGCGAGTGGCTCGTCTCTGACGCACAAGAAGACCAGACGTCAGCTTGCTGTCGGACTTCCAGTGGAAACAGAGGCGGAGGGATGAAGCACAAACGGGTGGGACACATGGTTCAGTGGTGCTGTGTACAGGTGTTATGCAGGAAATGCTTCCTCGCCGACTCTCCTGCACGTTTGGTTTCCATGAAGGAGCTAACAAGTCGTCTGCACCTCCTCAGGTAGAAGAACCAGAAGGAAAGGGATGCGTCCGCGTTTTTCTTACAAAACTCACCTGGACCGGCCTCCTCGGTGCTCTCAGCTGATCCGAGTCCTCCACAACATCTCACGTCCACTTTGTGTGTGTGTGCGAGTGTGTGCACACTCTGTGGAGGGACAGGGAAAGAGGAAAAAGTGCTAGAAGGAGGTGAAAGTGTCTCTATGTGATTCTAGATTAGGCTCCTCCTACAAGACAGGCTCCTCCTCCATCGGCTCCTCAGTGGACCTGCAGAGAGGTGAACAACAAACAGCCGTCAGCCAAACCCCCAAACTCCCACCCTCACAAAAATATTATACACCATCCCTCATAGTTTACTAAACAGAAAGTTTCTGCAGAAATACTGAAACATTTCAAATCAGCTCCTGTCTGAAACTCCAGCATTCATCAAGTTTCTTCTCAAAACTCAACAGGAATTACTTTTGTCATAATTTAAAACCAGTCTCTCTCTGGACTGCAGCTGTTAGTGACTCAAAATTGTGAGAAAAAATGCAAATCTTCTAATAAATTACTGATTAATCATTTAGTACTGAATACTTATTTTTTCTTAGTGTTGTTTTTAGACCTGAAGCTTTGGAGCTGAAGTTGGATGTTTTCGGTCACAGGTAAAGCTGCCCTGCAGGTGTCAAATACAGCTACACATGTGGACAAAACTGTTGGTACCCCTSGTTTAGTGAAAGAAAAACCCACAGTGCTCACAGAAATAGTTAGAATCTGACACTCTGACACTTATGCTACGTTCACACCGAACGCCTTTTGAGCAGCAAAAAAGTACACAACGCCTCCAGCTGGACACACTWTGTTCAGACCGGGGACGCAGACCAGACGTGCGTCTGAAGAGGGAGGAGCGTCTTGTTTTTTTTTCCGGTCGGTCCTCGGCGGGTGAAATAAAGATAAAAATAAAGAAAATGGCTTTGATTTATTTACTAAAGAGCAAGCGAACATTGCGCATAACAGATAATTAATTCACCAGATGATTTAGTGGCGATTTGTTCGGTTAGTTTTGCCACTCCAGAAGCTGCCAGCTGACGGACTTTTTTTTTTTGTCCCGAGCAGCTGACCCACATCGGTACTGATATATCCTGCCAGAAAATCCAACTGCAGACGGTCGATTTCAGCTAAAGATCTCCTGTCCGTCTGTTTCGGTTTARTGGGCAACATTCAGGGAACTATCACGTGGAAAAATGAGTCTCTCTGACTGATTGTCAAGATGCGTCGAGCGGCAAAAAGTTCCGATTTTTGAACTCTGGCGGCGGCTGCTTCCGCAGCACCGCATGCGCGGAAAATGCCCTGCCGCCCCTTCTGCCTTCCTTGAGCGCCGCCCAAAACGTACRTGACGCGATGCATGACCCATAGAGGCGCGTTCGCCATAGACTTTGCATGTAAGCTGGCTGCTCCTGCAGCTCAAAAYGTGTTCGGAATAATAGATAAAATTCAAGCAACACATCGCTAGCTGCGTTTCCATTGCAAATGTGCGCAAAACTTTGTCAATATTTTAATAATGTCGAAAAAATACTGTTTCGCAATTGCAGTGTTTCCATTCTGTAAGAAATGCTATTAAAGTCACACGTGAATACGTTTGTTCTTGCGATAAGTCATTACAAACATGGCGGCAATGGATGTAAACACATAGCATATTGCTACCGCGACACTAGCGCTCATCACCAGAGGAGACAAGCCTCTTAGGAACRGCTACATATGCTGTGTTTTTGGGAAATTGTAATCGATGATTCTTTATTTTACTACTTCACTGATTTTGCTACTACGTTTACTACTTTTATCTTTTTCTTCGTCTTTTTCACCTGCAGAAACAGACGGTTCTTGATCACGTGACTCCTGTGATGTGAAAAAAGTGTTTCCATTACAGTTTTGCAAAAAACACCAATTTCGATACGGCCAAAAAAACCATCTCATCCTAGTGCAAAACCATTTTGTCGAAAAACGTAATTTTTCTCTAAATTAACGTTTCCATTGAGCAAATTTATTTTCGAAATTCTAATTTGTGCATTTTCATGGTCAATGGAAACAGCTTGTGTAAGCCTCAGCTACAGATGTGAAAGTTTCAAGTCATTCAGAATTCTGTTTGCTAACTTGCCTCCGACAGTCACAGCACAGTCAGATAATATCTTTAAGTTGACAGTTTGATGTATAAACTGTAAAAAAGGGTAAAGATTGTGGGAGAAAAAGAGTYTATTTGCAAAACATCCCACTTTAATAATTTTTTAAAATAAAATCTGCAAAATCTATCCCCCCTCCTTTTTTTTTCCACGAAAATTCAGTATAATACAATAAAACCAAAACACAACTACTTCCATGTGAGCAGTGTGGCTCAGATGAAAAATAAAAATAAGGAAGAATTCGGGTATAGGTCGAACATCTTCCCTGGTGCTGGGAAACATAATAAAAAGCTGATATGAGCAGATAAAAAGCTCAGCTCCAGGCCTGACCTGCTGGTTTCTGTGCTTTCAGCTACAGAGCCCGGCTGATCCACATCGACACTCAGCGAGGCCATGGCGCTGACCGTTTCTGCCTCGTCCTTCTCCGACTGGCCCTGAGCCCCCAGAGAGAGRCTGCTGTTCTGAGACAAGCTCTGGAGACAAGACCAGTGTTTACCTGGAGAGACAGGAGGAGACAGAGGAGTGTGAGGAGGAGGACAACATGTGGACACAGAGTGCAGGCATGCAGAGAAGATCAGATCCTCACTCTGGATCTCGATCACCGTCTCCAGGGAGGCGCAGGCTTTAGGACACGGCTGCTCCTGGGGCCACTGGAACACAGAGTCGCTCTGAGGGGCAGAGAGGACCACATTCAGTCACAGAGAAGAAAAAAGCAACAGATGCTTCAGAAAGTATCCTTCACATTGTGGAGTTGAATTATGTAGCAGCGTGATCACTGTTTCCCTCTGATTCTCCTCAGAACCATGTAATGACAGTGATAACATAATCTTATGATCATGTTGTAAATTTAGTAAAAAGGGATGTACAGGTTCCTCACATTTTTCTTCATCTCTGCTGCCCACCATGAAATAAATGGACCGGACCTAATTTTGTAAAGGTACATATCTCTCTGAGCTACCAAAGGCTCATTATCCAACATGGTGATGATGCCTAAACGCAGAACAAAGACAACACAGGACAGGCTGAGGGACAAACCTGTGAATGTCAGTCTGACTGACCTGAGCACTACTGAAGGAAAGATCCTACAAATGGTCCCCGTCCAACAGGACTGACAGGATCTACAAAATCCTCTGAACCAGCTGTGAAAAACTTTCTGCATCAAACCCAAAAAGACTCAAGGTTGGAGTTGCTGCTAAATGATGGAGTAAAGGTGAGAATATGATATTTTAGGTCTTTATTTTTAATAAATTTACTAAACTGTATAAAATTCTGTTTTCATTATCCGCTGTGCTGCTCAGGATGGGAGACTGTGACGAAGTGAAGATTCAACACAATCTGCTGCTTTTTTAAATGTTTTTGAGAATGTTTTTTCWCGTACAATTACAATTTAGGGATTTCATCATCTACAGTCATCTACATTTAAAGATTTAGACAAATCTCTGCAAGTAAGCAGCAAGGCAGAAAACAATACTGAATGCCCGTGACCTTCCATCCCTCAGGCAGCATGGCATTACAAACTGACATCATTCTGTAACAGACATTACCACATGGGCTCAGGAACACTTCAGAAAAACCATTATCAGTGAACACAGTTTGCCTCTACATCTACAAATGAAAGTTAAACTCTACTATGTAAAGACAAAGACAGATATCAACAACATCCAGAAACACAGACRACTTCTCCAGCCTGACTCGTCTGAGATGGACTGATGAAAAGTGGAAAAGAGTCCTTTGGTCTGATGAGTCCACATTTCTAATTGTTTTTGGAAATCATGGATGTCGTGTCCAAAGTGAAAAAAAAAGGGGTTGGTTTAGTATCCATGGCATGGGTGACTTGTACATCTGTGAAGTCAGCATTAACGCTGAAAAATACATACAGGTTTTTGAGCAACATGTGTCCATCCAAGCCACGTCTTTGTCAGGGACGTCCTGCTTATTTCAGCAAGACAATGCTAAGCTACATTCCACGTGTTACAGTGTGGCTTCATAGTAAAGGAGTGTCTGTACTAGACTGGTCTGCCTGCAGTCCAGACCTGTCTCCCATTGAAAATGTTTGGAGCATTATGAAGTGTAAAATACGACAACAGAGACCTGGACTGTTGAGCAACTCAAGTTGTTCATTAAGCAAGAATGGGAAATAATTCCACCGACAAAGATTCAACAATCAGTGTYCTCAGTTCCTAAACATTTATTGACTGTTGTTAAAAGCAAAGCTGATGTAACACAGTGGTAAAAGTTTCAAATGTAAACTTTCAGGCCAACAGTTCACTTTTGTGTTGTAGTTTAGCCTCTGACCACTAGCTRGCAGCAGTCAGCCACAGTAGCTGAAAACCTAAGTTTAAATGATTGTAGCATCACGTTGCAACACAAGAAACACAAACAATGCTTTCTGAAGCTGCTGTATTTTAGTTCCTCTGTTGTAAAAATCACAATCAGCAGCATGCTGTCACTGTAACAGCAGCCGGTCTCACCAGGTCTCCGAGCAGCGCAGAGACGCACGCCTCTGAAGCGTCACAGATGGCGGTGAGGTCATGGCCGCCCTCCAGCGCCATCACAACCCGCCCACCCGCCAGAGCCATCAGGAGCTGAGTCAGCTGGCCAAAACCTGCCAACATGATTTGTTACAGCTAAGAACCTCGGAGTGGAATCAGTCTTTCTCTGAGCAGCAGAAACTTTTCACTCACACTTGGCAGAGACATTGTAGCCCCCGAGAGGAGATTGATGACCCTCCACTGCATCAAAACCTGCAGAGACCAGGACCACATCTGGACTGAACTGCTGGGCGATAGGCATGACCACATTCCTAAACACAAACACAGAAAACAGACAGTAAAGCTTCAGGGCAGATTTTTGCTGAGTCATCATTATCTTACTGCTTATTTTTTATGTATTTGCTAAATAACTACTTTTCTAGACCTTTTTATGAAAACATTCAGGTCATTCATGATTCGTGTTTTTTCTAACTTTTATACACAAAATATTTAACTTCTCTTTCAAATATTTTCCTCATTTGAACACATGGAGATCCTGTTCATTCCTTTGAAAGCAATGTTCTTAAAGTACTTTTAGGTGTTTTTTAACTTTGGCTTTTAGTTGACCCTTTGCTACCTTTAGTTTGTAGCTAACATGTCACTAACTTTACCTTTAGCAGTTAACTAGAGAGGCTGAAACTGCCTCCTTTAGTTTTTACATCTCAGTTTCAGCCTCTTTAGAAATGTTAGCAGTCATTCAGCTCTCAACTGCTTTTCACAGAAAATCTTCCTTTTTATTGTCCRTCCATCTATCCTTTATCTTCCGCTTTATCCAAATTTGGTTGCAGTTTAAACAGGGAAGCCCAGACCTCTCTTTCCCAGCCACCTCTTCAGCTGGGAGGACTCCAAGGTGTTCCCAGACCAGTCGAGAGACTTAAGCTAGGTTTATAGTTGACGCGTTGCGCCGGGCGTAAGGGCGTGTGCGCCAATAGTGACACAATTGCGCCGTCCCCACACCTGTGCATTGCGGTGTCCTGGCTCGTGGTTGTGCCCCTCTGCAAAGACTGTGCACCATTCATATAGTTTGTGTGTCAAGCTTTTGCTCTCCTAAGTGTGCAAATCTACATGCGGGGTTAAATCTGATCTAAATATTTCTTGTTGTCGTTTCATGTTTCATGTTTAATCCTAATAAATCAAAGATATGTCAGCACCATGACTAAAAACTACCTTCACTACAGCCCTTTTATATAGTCATTTGACCAATGGAAATACTGTTTCTACCTATAGGATAACAGGTTGTAACTTTGGCAACTGTTGGTGGGCCAAATCAAATGGCTTGGCGGGCCAAATTTGGCCCGCGGGCCCCATTTTGGGCTCCTCTGATATATAGGGTTGCTGTTTTAATATAATAGGAAAAATGACTGAAGTCAATAAAGAAGAAGAGCTTATAGTGTCTGGAAGATGTTTAAAAATGGAAACCATTTCTAAAAAATATTGGCAATGGCTGTCATGAACACTACTCTGATTAACTTGGAATAGTAAAGCAATTTGTTCACAGTAAGATCATCAGCTCTAAATGAGACACATCGACTCCCTTTAAATAACACAAAGACCTGCTGGGAAGTGAAAGCGTAATGCTCCCAGAGTTCAGGGTTTAAGTACTCAGAGAGCAGTAGAGTGTTTACCTGAAGGCAGAGAGGTACTCCACATCCCCCATAGGAGGCTCAACACCCCCGGTCCACGCTATGTTCACATTGAAGCCAACACCWGCACCAGAACCCACCTGACCAATGAAAAACAGAACAATATTTTTGTTTTTATTTAAGATAAAAAAAATCAATAAACGTCTGTTTAGATTGAAATATCCCAAAAAGACCTCCTGTTTGGTGTAGGCTTTCCATCAGCCAATCTGTGTACGGGCACATTTCATTTGAAATTATGGGCCCAGCTAATTAATGAATACTGGTGCAGTTTAACTGTGAATATTGGCGCAGTTGATCAAAGTATGAAGTTCCTCTGGCTGGGCACAGTTTTCCTTCAGGATAGCTTCTGTTCCACGTTTTTAAGCTACATGAGAAGATTTATTATGTAACCTGGATTTGCATGTAGAATAAACTACACCTCTACCAATGGAGAGTGGTTTGGCTCTTTGTCTGGCTCATGACACAGATGTTTTGGTCACCTTAGATTTAAAGTGAAACCATATGGGCACACAAGACTTTTTGTGGCTGTTCATATTTTTGTTTACATTCATAAGCATCATACTGCTGTCCAAAACACCTCCAAAGAGTTACACATGCTGAAAACGAGCAAGGTTTCTATAATAATTCTAATATGCTACAATAACAAATATTTATTGTAAATCAAACGTGTTATTTTAACTTTTTTACATTTGTTTTTTTTTTTTTTTTAGTGGTTAAATAAAACTGCAAACCATGATTAACCCAACTGCACTAAAGAAAAAAGAATCCTTTGGGGTTTGGGATGTGTTTTCTAACAGACCATGTGACAGATGGAGCCACTGAAGGTGGTGGGAGAGGGGAAACTGACTAAATGTTTATAATGGGAACAAGGGTTTACCATTATAACTAAAATTTGTATTTCTTCAGTACTCCCTCCTCCTGTTGTTGATAAAATCTACAGCAGAAATATTAAATGTTTGTACCTCTTCAGGAGCTCCACTGCCRGGGAAGAAGTTTCCATCATCGTAGCGATGGAGAGAGATGTAGAGGACACTGGGATCATTGTAGAAGGTCTGCTGGGTCCCATTGCCGTGATGAATGTCCTGGTAGAACAGAAAAAAACAAAACACAGTGAACACACATTTAGTCTGGAACAAAGGACAGAGATCATAATCTGGATCTGTACCAACGACAAAGAGTTGCTCTCCAAATAATAATAATAATAATAATAAACTTTAATGTATGGAGAGAGAGCTCACAAAAACTACAGTTATAAATCTGCTTTTACAAAAAAAAAAAAAAAACGCTGGAATGACTTGTTCAGCTGAAGCAGCTGTTGGATTGTTAGCATGAACTTGTAGCCACTTTGGTCAAACCTTGAAAATAACATTCTGCATTATCTAAAGCAAGACGTGTGAGTGATGCTACTGATTCTCAGCTACTACCACTTCAAACCTTAGCTCAGTCTCTGTACATCCATTAACTGGACTCACCCAGTCCACAATGAGGATCTTCCCAACCCCAAGTTTCTGCTGCAGCAGCTTTGCAGTGATGGCTACTGAGTTGAAGAAACAAAAGCCCCTGTGTAAGACACACACACATACATATTAAATTGTTACAAAAGGAGTGTGGAGCATGAACGTGGCATTGTTTAAGTATAATAAGAGTTATTACTGACATAGCTGTGGATTCCTCAGCATGGTGACCGGGTGGACGCACCACTGCAAATCCATTCTGAACCAAAGACACAGAGGTCAGTCAACACGTCACATTGGTCTTCATGTACTTTAAACACAATATTACCTTCAGTTCCCCTGCAGCCACTTTGAAGGCCAGCTCGATGACTGAGCCCACCGCCATGCGGACTGCGGCCGATGAGTGCATCTCGTTCCATACGGTGTCGCTGTCCACCTGCAGGGGGMAGCAAAGGTCTTAAATCAGGACTGAAAGCCTCCATCCCGTTCACACAGAACACACTGAATCTATGAGTGTCTCACCCCAATGCCTCCACAGGGAAGGACAGCGTACATCTTCTGGCTGATGGGACCTGAGAGTCGAGGGAACTGATTTCAGCTTTTTTCCAAAAACAAAGTTACATCAACTAAAACCAGAAGCAACAATCTAAACACTACCTAAACACAAAGGAACAACTGGAAAAAAAAATTGAACATTTATACAATTAAAGGTCCAACAGTCCTTAAAGGAATGCATATCACCTTCTGTACTTAATACCAGAGTTTTGGACTGAGTTCATCAAACACTTAGAAATKATGGAGTTGTAACCATCGCTCACATTGCTCCTGAATTCAGGGGTGTATTTTCTTCTCCAGCACCCCTGAGCACATCTTTCTAGGGAGGCAGAGGAGTATGATTCCCTTGTAATTGGAACACACCCACTGTCCATCTTCTCAAAATGGGGAACCACCAGGTCTGCCAGGTCAGTGGCACTGCCCCAATGTTCGCTTATTGTGACAAAGTCATGCCAGCCAAGACAGCCCAGCAGGATCCAAAGCCTTGATGAACTCAGGGTGAATTGCGTACTCCCATCCAGAGCCCTGTTGCCACAGAGCTTTTTAACTACCTCAGTTATAGACAGACCAATCCCAGAGTGTTCAGACTCTTCCTCATAGGAAGGTGTGYTGGTGGGATTGAGAAGGTCCGAGAAGTATTCATCGCCCGACAACATCTCTGGTTGAGGTCAAACTCACCCCACCTCTTCTATCAGCTGTCTGACGCTTTGCCAGAATCTTCTTGGAGTCGATCCAGAGTCTCTATCGAAAGGTCTCGTAGAACGCTTTCCAAACCCAAGCCTTCACCTCAGCAGCAGCCAGGACTCATATCTCTCAGCTGCCTCTGGAGTGCTACCAGATAACAACAAGGCCTCCCTCACCTGACGTGTCCACCACTGGGTTTGAGGATGGTCACCACGAGAGACAACAACAACCTTACAGACACAATTCAGGGCAACGGACGATTTTGGCAAAAAAAAAAGATTGATCACAACTAATTGTGGTGTTTAGAAGATAACGATCAATCCCCTGGAGTCCCTGGACGTCCGAGTCACATGACCTATTTAAAGATACAATTTCCCTAAGAATCTGTTCCAATCTGTATCTTCAAGAAGCTCAAAGGCAGAGATGGAGGAAAAAACAGTCTGAGACAGAGTGAGGAGGTAAACAAYCCATTATTTGGTGAAGAGGAGGAAAAAGAAGAGAAGCATTTCGGCAGCATTATTSGCAATAATCATCAAGTGCCAAATAATAACTGGTGAAGGTTTTTCTGACGATTGATGCACACAATACAGTTCAGCCCAACTCTACTCAGGGCACATGTCTTGACAATGGAGGTGTGAAACGAGGCCCACCTCCTCTGGGATGCTTTTATATGAGGTGAGAGTTAAGATTTTTCTGTTGGGTTCTACTGCCAGGATTTTACAAAACACTACCAAGATTTTACCAAAGTTAGAGCTTATGGTTGGAAACGGACACAGGTGGATCTTGTCCACTAACTTAAAGAATAACGTCTACCGGAATCAGACACAAACACTGAAACTATGAAAATAACCAAACCAAACTTTTAGTTTTAAAACAGTGTGAAGGAGACGTTTACCCAGAAGCTTCTTGTGGTCCAGTTTGTGCCGATTGAGCGGGCTGGTTCCGTATAACAGAGTGTGAAACTCTGAATGGACYGACTGGATCTCATCCAGGGACGCCTTCCTCCCACGAATCCTCTGAACATAAAAGGACAGACACTTAAACCTACAARCACTTCACACAGAGCTGCAAGGGTTTGGTTCCAGTCCGGTTTATACCTCGCAGCGGCTCAGAAGGCCCGTCTCCTGCAGTCTGGACCAGATGCTTTGGACTCTCCCGGCATGCTCAGGGTGGATGTGAGCATTTCCACACACACACTGATGTTTCAGCATCAGACTGTCGTAAACGAGCCCTGCAGAGAGCAAAGGAAACAACGGCTGGTTGGAATCACATCACRTGTGCTTTCTTCGGAGCAGAGATGCTGACACACAATTACATCTTATAATAAATAACTGGAGGCTGCAGAACAATAACTGCACGTCCACTCATCAGCCACTAGAGGTCAGGAGGTTCACGCTAATTCTGAGTTTCACAGAACCATTCAAACACAGGGTTTGTTTTCTTTTAGTGATGGAAAACCTTTGCTTTGTCAAATCAAACAGGACCTGTGAAGGTTAGGGTTAGAGTTTACAACATTATATTTGCTATAAAGATGATTCTAAATAATTATTACACTTAAACTCAGCAAGTTTGTTTTGTTATTTGAGAGTCAAGGCAACAGTAGTGACGTATATTGTTGTGACACTGGGGGGTTTGAGCTTGTTTAAAGACAGAAATCATCCTGCCTCTCACTGTTTCAGCCTCAGAATAAAGCTGCTTTTGTTTGGTTAATCCCTTATCCACTCGCAGAGATGAGCTGACAAACATTTCAGTCCACGGAACAGAAAATGCAGAGGTGAGGGTCCTGTGTTCATACTGCAGATTTCCTGCATTTTACAGGTCAGATTAATGGAACAATCAGACATCTGTTTACAGGTATGTTTACACACCAACCCCACGCTGTCATGCTTCAGCAACGATTGTCTGTCAAAGGCTTAATATGACTCTGAAGGTCTAGAAGCAGCTATAATATGAATATTTTTAACTCCATGTTCAGCTAAACACTCTGAGCTTGACATCTTTTGACATTCAAGAAGTCTGCACGAGGTTATTTTCAAAACAACTTTTTAAATATAAGTTAATCTAAGTCTAGAGTGAGGCCACAAGCCAGAACATATTCAAACTTTATAAAACCAGAGATCTGTCACCAAGCTGAAGATGTTAAGCTGCCTGTTGCTAGGCAACAGGCCAGCGGACAGTTCTCCAATCAGAAAGCAGATATGAAGCTGACCGGTAGTGAAGAGGTGTTTGATGGGATTGACGCCGGCTGCAGGCAAGGACTTCGCTCTTCCAAGAGGTCTGTGGGTCAGCGAGGACTGGAACACACCCAGCTGCTGCAGGGACTGCACAGAGAGAGA